GAAGTAGGAAACCCTGTCAAGGCATCCATCCCTGTGAGAAACCAACCACTCCCTTAAGACTCCAGGTGTCTCTCCATGTGTTACTCCCCCCACCCAACAGGAGGAGGAAATTATCTGATTGGTGAGTTTAAAGGGGGCCGTGAACACATGTATATGTGCTCCTTCCTTCCTTACCATCCCATTTCTTTGGGAAAGAGGTATCTGTGAGAAACACACATTCCGCACTCTTTCTCAAGAACAAGGATGTGGAGTGACAGGGTCCAACAATGCTTCCAGCAGTCCAGCCCACCTGTGTGCATGGATGTAAAGAAACTCTTATTAAGAGAGTTTAGGAAAGCAACACCTTACCTGATGTATTGTTAAGATATCATATTAATAATGATTACTACATCAAGTAAAATATCAACTCTTTTATCAAAAACTAGCTAGATGCTTACCAAATTTATTCTGCAGGGAGCGGTGGTCAGGAGTATTCACATGTGTGATGAGGGAGAAAATAATGCACACTACTCCCAAGCCCTATCCATATAAATCATTCCTACAATATCCTCCTCTCTCTCTCTCTTTTTTAAATCTTTAGTCAGATACCTAGTGGTGAGGTATGGGAACTCTGAAAATTCAGAGGACAACATTGAATAGAAGTCTGCTGTCCCCACACAGGATGGGAGTATATATGAGTCAAAAGTAATTATCTATTAGATACCACTTATTAAAATTTGTATTACTTTTTTGGATCACTTAGGATAGAAAAGAGTGGTGTCATTATTAAGCATCCAACAAACCATAAGTATCAATTGTCTAGCCTGGTGGATTTGGATGTTCTTGGACTTACAAATTATTTGGAAGGCAGTTATTCCTCTAGGTAAAAGGGAAGTAAATGAAATGTTTTAAGGAAGTAGTTAATGTGATCTAATTTAAGATTTTAGAACTATCATCCTGGTTGGGGAGTGAAAATTAGTTAAAATAGATTCATGGTGGTGGTGATAAAATCTGGAAGGAGAGCCAAACCAAGACACTATGAACAGTAGGGATAGAAACAAATACCATGAGACATCATGTGGAGGGAGAATTGAAGATATGGGGCTGGCAGAGTGGCTCAAGTGTAGAGCTCCTGCCTAGCAAGCTCAAAGCCCTGAATTCAAAATCCAGTATTACAACAACAACAAAAAGAAATTATCTGTTAATGTTTTAGCTACTTCCTCACTTCCACTTTTCCTTTCTCTTTCTTTCTTTTTCTTCTTTCTTTCTCTCTCCCTCCTTTCCTTCCTTCTTTCCTTCCCCTCCTATCTCTCTCTCCCTCTCTCTCTCTCTCTCTCTCTCTCTGTCTTGCTAACTTTTTGCCCAGGCTGAGCTCAAACCATGATCCTCCTGATCTATATCTCCCTAAGAGCTGGGATTAAAGGCACGAACCCCCACACCTGGATGTAACAATTTCTTTAAACCACTGAATAAATCTGACACAACCTTTCACATTAGCTTTGACCTCACAGCTGTGCTAATATCACACAATATGCCTATTTCTAATAATTATTTTTCTCCTTAAAGAATATAAGATATATGGGTAGAATTCTAGCTGCACATAACTAATAATTCCTAGTCTCTATTTCCCCAAAATCATAAATTTATTTTGAAGTGTAAGCTACAAGTACCAACAGGTATTTCAAAGTGCCTGTGTTTCTATAAATATTTATAAAAGAACATTGTAAATTATATGCTATTAGACATATTTGTGATCACTAAAAAGATTTTGTATTAAAATCCATGAAAAGGTATTAGGTGAAAGAACAGAATTTTTAGGATAAATGAAAGTTCCTCTACATTTTTCATCTTGAGACTAATTTCTAAATGTTAGTAGTATTTCCATATATGGCAAAGGATCACTTCCATTGCGGAATGAATCAGTCATTGATTTTTTTAAAATGAAGTATCATAGTTATTTGAAATCAATGATGCTTGCATGAACATTTGATCCTCTGCACCATGAGATTTCAAAGAAATGATCATTTCAGCACAGTTGGAATTCATAATCTAATTCCAAATCAATATGTACAGACTTAAAAAGGAAGAGCTGAATAAATTTGAAATTCAACATAGGAAAAGCATTTTGGATATAATTGCCTCTATTGCTCACTGTCTTGGTTGCATTTTAAATACGTACTTAGATTTTACAATTAAATTCTTACCATTTCTATCTCTAAATGTCAGTGGTTTAAGAGAAAGGCACACAAGGCTTTTAAATACATTTTAAAAATCTAGGTCTATCAAGCACATCTGTTCCCAACTCTAACAATTATGAATTTTTTCATCAGCAGTCTTAGCCAGGCCTACATTTGCTTTTAATGATTTCGGGCTTCTACAAAAGAATTATACATGTATTCAAACGTTTATACATACAAAGTGCTTCCGTGAAAGTGAAGGCCATTATCAGAAATTTTCAGAAGGAGAGTACACAAGCAGAACGGATGAGAAGTTTCAGGTGATGGATCCCAAGTGTCTTTCAATTGTATTTGAACTTTGAATATTTTACATTTTCTCTACAATGCCATTTCTAAAAGTAGTATAAAATCCTTGTTCTGTTATAATCCATTTTAAAAAACAATTAAAGTGTATTTGAATAATTACATGTGACTATTAGTTCATTTTTTAAGTATTTTAAACCTTCCATATTATTTTACAAAAATTTGGGATGTGGAAAGAGATATTTTTAAAAGCCCATATAAATTATGCAAACCATGTTTTTATCTTTGTATTTACAGCATCTCATCTCTACAATAAAAATTCTCTGCTCATTCTTACTGTTGAGCTTTGTGGTTCATTTAACTGAAATATACGATCAAAATTTTGAGGAGGCCTCCTGGTGCTTGCCACAGGCTGTGTTCTTACACTGACTGTACAGATAAAGAGAAGGAAAAGCAAACCTACCCCACACACACTTCAACCCCCGTGCCTGGTCTGTACCTTGAATGAGAACATGTGGAGTGCCAGAAAAAACAAGTTTTATGCAGTTTAATAAAACTTTCCTCAATTTCAGACTTGTTCTGTTCTGAAACACCTATTAGTGATTTCATCTAGTGAAAACATTGCATGTATATTAATACATAATTTTGGGTGGTCATATATAGAACCAATTTATATTTTATAATGCTATATTTTTCTACCTATATATGTTTGTTTAGAGTGGACATTTTCAGATTTGGGATGGATAAATCATATTTCAACAGAAATATTACACATTTTAAAATACATATTGTTTTGTAAATCAATTAAAAACCATGTCTAGTTCTCAAAATAATTGTAACATGAACACTAAATTACTTGAATAAATAGACTTAAGAAACTAGAGTAGCATTACCAAGTCTGCAGTGCACACTAGTGGCCAGAGATAGTACAAGCAAGCGACATTCTTTTCAAGTTAATTTTAAGACCAACTCTATAGTAAATATTATTTGTCAGTCAAATTAAAAACCTATATCATATAGAGCATGTGTGATACACTTTGAACATAACATGATTTTTGCATTGTTAACTATTCTTCCAGGAAGTGTTAATTAATCATAAATATTCACACCAGAGACACCATGTCCATTTAGGTACCAGTGCAAGTGTAATCCTATAACTCTGCAAATACATTTATGTGTCTATGCAGTGCACATATAACTGTATTGCACACACATCTGCTACACATTAATCCGTTTGAAATTGTTTGGCTTTTAAATTTTCCTCTTTATTTTCTTTCCTTTGTTTTGTTCAATGTTATTTCCTATATACTTACCTGGCACAATGCTTTAATACACAGAATATGCACAATACTATTTTGTATTTTATTAAATTTATTTTTAAAAATACATAAACATAAAGTTGTACATATATGGAGCAGCATATGATGTTTCAATGTGTATATACATTGACAATTAATCATGCAAAACATATTTATATCTTCAAATATTATACTCTCAAATCATTTCTTTATGGCTAAAACATTCAAAATCATTTATATTTCTTCTGTTCTGAAACTCCTATCAGCATTTCATCTGGTAAAAACATCACACATGTATTAATATATAATTATGTGTGGTCATCAGATGAAGGACCAATTTATCTCACAATATTTCATATTTTTGAAATATGCAGTACATTATGATTACAATAGTCACCCTACTGTGAAAGAACAAACCAGAACTTCTGAGTCTTATGTGGCTTTAAGTTAATACCCACTGATTAACGCCGCCAATCAATCCTTCCCTTTCCACTGGTTTCCAAACTCTAGTGATCACCATTCCATTCTCAGTTATTATGAAATCAACGTCTTTGCATTCCACTAGTAAGTGAGATTATGGAGTATTTGTGCTTGGCTCGATTTCACGTAACATGATCATGTTCCATCCATACCGTCCCAAATGACAGGATTTTATTTTAAAGTTGTCTAAAAAGTAAATGTTATAAATTACTGAAATGAGAGTTTCAATGATGCCCTTTTATTGATGATAATACAAAAGTATAAAGGCAAGTAGTTGATCCTGAATAACTAGAATGGCAACATGAAGAGAACCTAACTATACTTGAGATAAATTAATATTTCCAAGATTGATTCATGAAAGAATATGAAAATATTATTTATAGATAATTGGTATGAAGTAAGATGTCTTCATTTATCCCTTCATAAGTTCCTAGAATGGCTAGGTACTTACTGGTGATTACTAACCATTCACAATTTAGATGAATGTCAAAACATGATGTATAGCTCAAATATATTAAATAGAATTTTTTAAAAGAAAGAAAGGGCAATATAAAACTTCAAAAAAGTGTCATTTAGAACACAATTTCTTATGGCCTAAGTTTGGCTAAGTTTACAATTGATATATGATCCTAAATATTCCTTTTCTGGAGAAACTCAGATTTTTAACCATTCTTTCTCTTGTCTGCTCAGCCTTCTTCCTTTTGCCTACTTGGTTACATATCTAAAGAGAGAAAACCGTGGTTTATGTTGCATGGTCCCATACCTCTTTCATATTTGCTGCCTTGGAATTTTTCAGTGCTTCATATTTCCATTTCCACAGACACAAAGCTGACTCCAGTCGTTCTATTTCCTTTTCCAAAGATACACGCATCCTAAATCATTAAAGAATGAGAGCAAAGTGGAAATAACTCTTAAATACATTTAGGAATGCATCAGAGTTTATATTTTCCTAATTTTTCACATTTGTTTATGATAATTATGAAATAAAATATTTTCCAACTTATTAAAAATTATAAATATTGAATAAAACTTGGCTTAATCTGCTTATATGTTGATTAACTTCGCAATAGAGTAAACATATTTAGTTTGGCTTAGCCAGTATTGATTTTCTGTCAATTTTTCTCCTACATATTTCATGCATTTCTCTTAATTCTCCTCATTTATATTATTCCTATATGTATAAGGAGATGTGTTTCTGACTTTAACATGTTTTTTGTCCATCTTCATAGTTTTGCTGTGTATGGATGAAGAATCCAGCAAGATAACACAGAATACCAAAGATAAAACTTACCATCTAAGTTTTAAAAGTCAGTCATTTAAGCTGGCTGTGATGGTGAACACCTGTAATCCTGGTATGTAGGAATCCTACACAGGAGGATCTAGAGTTCAAGGTCACCATGGGCTACATAGTGAGATTCTTTCCCAAAAGAAAAATCCAGCAATATAGGATTGAATAAATAATTATTTACAACAAAAAATTCAACCATTTATTGGAAATGTAAAATCATAAATATTTTCAAATTTTTTTTACAAAGGAATTTTAACTGGGATTTTTATTTAAATTACTTAAATTAATTCTCCATTTATGAAAGTAAGAACAGAACTAGGATTAGAATCTGGTCATTTTATATCTAAACCATAGATTACTCTTTCTTTGCCTATAATGTCCATTAAATGAGTCATTGGAAATAATTGTTATATTTGTTTTTGTCATTAGTATGTACTGACCTTTGCAATTGTCCTGTCCTCGTCTATGCTATAGATTAGACTATTGTTCAAAAGTACTCATTCTTTTCCCTCTATGTGTATGGACAGAGCTGATTTTCTCATCTCTCAACTCTAGACTTTGACATGGGAAATGAGCAAATGTGACAGAAGCAGAAGTTGGAAAAGAACTTGTGTGTTTGGCTCTAGATAAACAAAATCTGATTGTTATAACACTGGAACTTTTGTGGTTTTTAAGTTCAGCTTTGTTGCACTTATAATTAATAAACTACAGATCTATTGAGTGGCATTAAATGTTTTAGAAACATACTAAAATGCATTCACAAAACTAGAAAATGCATACAGAATCAAAACTGAATGTTATTCAAAAATTATAAGAAATAGGACCCTCCCTGGTAGAATACTTTGAAAAAATTCAAAATAATGTTAGACTGTAAATATATTACTTTGATGCAATCAAATGTATATAAGGATCCTATTGAAGAATTATAGCATTACATTTGCATGAATCATGCCATAAAATAGAGTATAAAAGAATTAAAATTTAGACTAATCACAGAACACTTAAATTATAAAATAAAGTCCCACTGTCTATAGGACTGTAATTGGTAATCTCTTGTTAACACAGAAAATGTATTAAAAAACTAACAGATTTTTAATATAGAAATCTAGGTCCTATGAACAATGCTATGGTTCAAAATTAACCACCTCAGCCTAAGCTTCTTGTACATAAGCAGTTTATCCATCTGACACCCATGGTGTTTACCAGGATATTGTTTTTGTCTTCAGTGGCTGTGTTTGGAATGCCAAGAAGAATGAAGAACAGAAATATTTACCAAATCAGCAAATATTAGTATTTGGTGTTAAATTAGAAACATGTTTACCAACTATCATACATTGAAATATGTTGAATGTCTGGCATGCAAGTACTTTTAAGTTTTGGATGATAATGCTGATTACAATACTTAAAAGATATTAGGCATTGGTTAGGGCTTTTGAATTTAAGGTGAAAAGTCTAAAAATGATAGTTACTAAGTTTGTAACTTCCTTAGAACATTCAAAGTAAGGACCATCATATTTGTAATTCTTTTTTTTTTTTTTTAGATTTAGGTGAGTAAAACCCTGGAATATTTTGTCAGTAATGGAGAATATTTAAAAGCAAAGGAAATGTTAAACAAACAAAATAATTCAATCAAAAGTTTTAATTAATTATATTTATTTAGTGGAGCATACATAATTGTTCCCTAAAATTAATTGGAGAATTACTTTATTCATGAACAGTAGGATAGAAAATTTATAATTGACGATTTGAAAATTTCTAAGCATTTAAATGTGCAAATTCAAAAACCTGTACAATGAAGAAAATGTCATTTTTGACATTATGCTTTAATAAAAATGCAAAAATCAAAGCAAAACTCAACGTTTTCCCAGTAAAGTGATTCATGCTAGAATCAAAATGATTTGTGATTACTGAAAAATAAATACTGATCTTCAAAAATGTCATCAAAATTATTATTCTTTGACAGTTTAGAACTATTTCAAGAAGATCATTTCAAAATATATGTTAACTTTCAATTTCAGTTACATATGAATATCACTAGAGATATAATTATATCAGGTTTACATCTAGACCTAAAATAAACGTCTGAAGCTATTCTGTGAAAGAATATAATTTTGTCAAAGGAAATTAAAATGAAAATGATGACTTTCTCCTACTAAAGGCAAATTAGTAACATTTCAAACATAGTAATAATTTTCCTTTTACATATACATTTTAAATAAAACAACTGACACATTAGTTTCCTTTAAAAATCTTTTATTTTGCCTGTTGTGACACAATCTCAGCACTCCTGAGGCTGAGACAGCAGGATTTCAACTAAAAGCAAGCCATAGCTACATAGGGAGATTCTGCCTCAAAAAAATATGAAATTGTGTATTTTCACTGTGTAAAAAGTTACAATTTGATCATGGGATTTACAAGACACGTAATTTATAAAAATCTACTAAATAATAATGGTGTCCAACTATTTTTACTGTGGCCTCATTAAAAATGTATGTGGAATGTGCAAGATTTAAAGACATTGCACACCTAAGGTTAGGCAGCAGGGGGTGCTCTATAAATCCTTAATTTTCTATTATAATAATTGTGTTTCAGAGAGATTTTCAAAGTTTATTGATCCTGTATTTAAATTCATAAGCAAAATGTATACTATCATGATGCTATTTGAAGTGCAAGAAGTGGAGATAAAGAACTTATAACACACATAAAAGTTTTACATGCATATCTCACTACTTCAGTCCATTTAAACTAGGAAAATTGAAACCCATATAATATTATATACAAATACTTATGTAATGGAATGTATTCAGTGTTTCTTGCATATTTTTCTGGATCTGCCCATTTAAAGTGTCATAAACAAGAGAATGGAAAAATAATTTCTTTAAGATTGAAACACATTTTAAAGTGTACCAAATATTCTACAGTATGATAATAATTTTAAGCTGACCATGAAGGAACAAAAAATTCAAGTAATTCATATTACCAGCCTCTTTCCAATATATTATTTGTGTGTGATCCTTACAAGAATTGTGTATTTTGCAAAGATAATGACCACATTCTGCACGCTCTTATCATAAATGATTCTGACATTCCTTCCATTGAGAGTGCCCCTCTTGCTAGAACTGAGTCTGCTTCCCCCAGTAAACCTGACAAGGAATATTCTCTGACTTTTGAGGGCAGGTCACTAAAATTCCATAATGACTCTGTGTTTAAAGCCAGAAGACCACAAGGACAAGTCACTTGCAAGTGTTCCAATAGAAACCCAGATGAGAAGTGAGATCATTCACCAGGTATGTGAGTGAGCAAGACATCCAGCTCCCAGCCTCCCATTCAGCTCCAGGCTTTGAGCTACGCCAACAGAAGCCACATGTAAGAGAAGAGCTGTCCGTGCCAAGCCATACAGGACATTCATGAATGGAAGACAGTAACTATTGCTTAAAGAACCAAGGTTTAGGAAAGTCTGATACATAGCAATAGATAATAGGAACCTCATATCATTACCTGTATTTTTACAAAAGAGAAATCAGCTCAGTATTATAGAGCTGCATCAGGACCAAGGTGAATATTCATCTTAGTCACACTTAAGTATGATTGTCAGTCACAAATTTAGTATTCTTTCCTTTAAACAGTGATGGATAATTTGTAACAAATCATTTTCTGTGATCAATATCTCACCAAACTGTGATTTATCTGTTAACAATATTAACATACTTATTCATTTTTATTTATTTCAGAAGTCCAATAAAGTTGTAAAAGTTAGAGAATATATTGAATATTTTAACCATTACTTTAAGAATTCAAATACAACTAACATTAATGTACCAGAGATGATGAGAACAGGATTATGGTAAAAAAAATTTCAAATCATAAAAACCCAACAAGTTATAAATTACTTTTCAAGCTCAATTTTTTAAACTTACAACTTAACGTTACACATGGGTAATATATGTTATCAAATGATGTTTGTCATATTTAGAATTTTAAGAGGTTCCAATTTCAGGTTTGATTAAGGGACACAATGATGAGTACTTACTCTCTTTCCTTCCTTAAGATTGTTTGGCACTCATCCAAGTGCACTGGCAAAGCTGAAATTTCAGTTCCTTTATTCTCCAAAGGTGGATTTATTGCTTGCAGCTCTAGCTCAGGTGTCCTTGCAAAGTTTCTAGAACCACTATTCTTTAATAACTCTGGATTGGGTTTCATCATCTCATTTAATTTCAGTGGATCAATAATCACATCTTCTTCCTAGGAAAAGCAAAAAAAAGTTGTTGAATATTTAAAACACTCAGGAAAACCTATGAAGAAAGCTTATTTTCAAAAGTAAGTAAAATGATGACAAATCTTTCATCTATATTTTCCATTTCCTAAGGCTTATTATATGATTAGACTAAATTGCATTCTGCAAATTTTTCTATGTCCTAACATCAAATAACATAATTTCTTTAAAGTTCTACTTTAACTTTTAGTTTGCCTCTTTTTTCTATTCAAGGCTAAAAATAACCCTGTGTACACTCAAATACCTGTAAAGAGTTTTTTTTAACAAGTTGATGCATTCTCCTTTAACATTGTCACAAGAACCTGAGAGTTTTGAAGTCAAGCTAAGTGATTTTGAAAGAACTTTTGAAGGACAGAACAGAAAGAATTTCAAGGAAAGTCTTGCATATTTTAATAAATGTGTGTACTGAGTTTTACTTAACTAGTAAATCTCAAATAAAACCCACCCATATTTTAATAAATATGGGCATGAATTATTAGAATATCACACCACACCAAAAAATTCTGTATCTTAACACTTCAAAAAATTCATGCTATAGACCTGCCTATAAATTTAAATCTGCAGATTTATGTGATTTAAATAATATAAAGCAAATTTCAGTTCAGACCATTACACTTCATTTTTAGTGTTCTACTTTTTAAATATTATGTGGATGCCAGGTTATTTAGTATTATTCATGTATTTATTCTTTCCATAATTCATGTTGTGACTACCTGTACCATTTTGGAAAATAATAAAATAGGATATGTACCTTATTTGTAAGGTAAAAGGCAAGGTCATGGAAAATCCTAGGTTCAAATAACCTATAACTATACAAGTCCTTATTATTAGGCCCAGAGTTAGAAAGAAAACTGCTCAAAATAAACAACCGGTTAAAGCTTCCTTAACAGCCAATGCTTGTTTCCCTACAATCACAAATTTTACTTAATTCCCCCCACAACAATGTTAACAAATACCAACTCCGTGTGATTTCTACTTGACATGCTTATAGAAAGATTTTCCAAATGAAAAGCCAAGAATTTAAGATATTCCAAGGATAACACATGTGTAAGACATCCTTACTTTTCTCAAACATAGAGTTTAATGACTTATAATAATTAAGAAATATTTTGTGGTTTCGGTGTACACTGTGTCAGTTATGCTTCCTCATCTCTATCAAGGTGTTCAGATTTTTACATTATCATAACTACATTTTGAGGATACATACTATTCCCAAAGATGTACATAAAGGTACTAGCAGTTTGGATTAGAAGTTAAATAAAAAGCCTAAGTGGTTGATGTACTTCCTATACAAGAATGACTATAGAATTTTTAAACCTGTTGAAATCATCATAAGAAGGTAACTAAAGTAGAAAGGAGAAATATAAAGAGGACAAACCAATTAATTCTGGTTATTCTATCTATCTATATATTCACATATGTATATATACATATACATATATATACATGGAAATGTCACAATGAAACACCATGTATATCTATCTTAAACAAAAATATCATTTTGTTTTTCACAAAAACACAGAACTGGAAGGCAAAACAGGTCCTGCCTGGGAGGTTGGTATCAGTGGGAGGGGAAGGGTATAAGGAAAGGGTATAGGAAGGTGAATATGGTGGAAATATAATGTACATACGTATGTAAGTGGAAAAATTAGACCTGCTGAAACTATTCTAGGACTGGGGGAGAAGGAATAAAGGAGAATAATGGAGGAGGTGAATTCAACTATGATATATTATAAGTACTTTTGTAAATGTCACAACGTACTCCCTGCACAACAATAATGAAAAAAAAAACCAAACAAACCAAAACCCTAGAAGGCCAAATAAGCAGAAATAATTGTGTTACTGCAATCTTTTCAGATTTCTCATTTACAATGTAGTGTATGTTATATCTTCAATTAATTTTATATATTTTGAAAACTTAAAACTTTACATTGAATTATAAACCTGCAAAATATTAACTAGTGTGTTTTTAGAGCACGCTAGTTTTTAATTTGCATGCACAGGTGTAACAATAATATAAGCTGACATTATGATGATAAGAAACATGCATTCCTAAAATTCCCCCAGAGTATATTTTATGGGTTAGTAAGAGTATTTCCCAGGTTAAGATGGAGTTCATTGATAAATAATTGTCAAGACTGCTAGGTTAAATTTCAGACTATGACAGTCACTATTGGGTTTGTCACTTTTTCCTCATCTCCATGACTGAATACAATTATTTTTTTCTCACCTTACTATTTGTGTTCCTCTCTTCAGAGATTTGTCTTTTCACCAAACATTTTCTGGCAGATTCACACATTTGAGATTGTTCTCTGTGGTCATAGGACATGTCTACAAAGCTAGGAATCTCCAGGTCCTGGGCAACTTTGACTTCTGTGGCCTTCTTTTGTAGTGACAGATTCTGATTCTTTTTCAGGGCACTCAATTCTTTCATTGTCATCTCTAGTTTTATTCTAAGTTGTCTTCCTTCCTCTCTGGCACTGTTCCTTTCAGCTCGAACTTTACTCCATTTCTCTCTCCAATTCGCAGTGCAGTCTGACCACCACCGCATGGTCTTTTCCATCTGAGCAGCTCTGGCCTTGACTTCTTCAAGTTCATGCAGGCGAAGCTCTTCACAAGTATCCCATTTGCTGGTGGTGAAGGAAGGAGCACTGAAAGTGTGGGCAGCATGAGATTGTAGCTCATAAGGTGGCAAGCAGGCATTACAGGTGTCCTCAGGGGAGGAGGCACATGCTAACATATCACAGTGCTCCTTGATTGATGACTGCTGCATCTGGAAGATTTGTGTTTCCTCAATTAATTGATGAATGGAATCTAAATTCATATTTATCTTTTAATGCCTAAGGAAAGACAGAGAATGTCATTGTACATTTGAGTTTCCCTTGTAATTATTAAACAATACCTAGTTTGAAAGAAAAATTTGAAAACAGTGCAACTTGTTAATAGTACATATTTTCTTTTCTAATGTAATTAATATACAGAAGAATTTAGGCATCTGTAATTATCTTCAAATAAACAAAAACTGCTCATTAAATTTTGCCAAATAAAATAAAACATAATGATGCAATTGGAGGTAGTCTGTGACATGAATATTCATTTCAAGAAATCTGATTCCATTCAGGTATTTATTATATAGTCCATCACAAAGTAAAAATTGTAATATTTGTTTTCCAGTGTCTCCATAATGGATCTCTCTTTTCCATGCTAACTAACCCCCCAATTTGTTGAGGTAGAATGCTTAATCTGTTGAGACACCAAATGCTGTATCATCTCTACGTCTTCCATGTTGCTCTCCATCTCAAGGACTATTGACTAGTCTCAAGGCAGGCATATACTGGGCTTTGGTGATATGAACCAAAGTCTACTGAAGAAGAGAACATCAGGATGAGAAATCTTCTTTGCTCTGCTTTCCACCCACCTGGACAAGGGCATGGCTCTAGGAGAAGTAAGGACAATAGTCCTCTTGTATCATCTGAACAGATGGGGCCAAAGGTGAAGTCTTATTTATTGATTGAATGGATGCTTGAAATCTATAATGCATACTTCAGATTTCTTTGCTATATGTGAAGAATTACCTATATTTATTTAAGCTATGGTGGTTGAGTTTTCTGTTACCGGTAGAAAACTGATAGATGAATTCATTTCATGTATGCTTAATACTTTGATAAACCTGAAAATAAAAGTTTATGAGTAAGACCACTAAAGTTATGATTCTCTCTCTCCTAGATATGAGAATGCTTTGTAGCAAAGATAACACTAAACAGCATCTAAGTCATAAAAAACTTTGTAAAGAAATTAAAACTAAATTTCCATATAAATATCAAAACAAATTAATTTGTAAATGCATGTCATTTTAGTCAATATGTACACCCATTTTGTTATCCAATTTAGCTATATAAGCAATATTAAGAACATAACAAGTAGAATCTTTTCCTGAAAATAATTGCTTAAAACATGCAGGTTAATTTTCAAATTAACAAATTTCATCATTGCATAAGACTGCCCATTCTTATTCTCAAGTACAGTCTTCTGATGTAAATAATCTTAGATGTTTTATGTGCATGGGATTAATCCCTCTTGCTTTTTTCCATTTCCTTTTGTATAGCTACAGATTATAAACCACTACCACCTCCTTTTTACCCATCTATTTAGTCAACTGAATGGGTTTCATTATACCAAATAACTCACAAAATAAGCCTTTATTTACTAGGGAAAAGACTCTGTAATACTTTTAAAGACTATACAACATTAGGACTATACAATTAAAAGACATTATAATATTAAAATTAATATTAGCTTTTAGTTTTAGGAAAAAGGTATATTTTTAGCAAATGTTCTGTAGAGATGCCAAATCAATTCATTCCTTGTATAGCACCTATAATAGAAGAGACTCATGGTTGCATTTATTTTTGATAATATTAGTATATGTTCAATCATATATGAATTACTGCTGAATTGGGGTAATTGTTCACTTCATTTACTCTAACTCAGAGGCCAATTGTAATACAACTGACCATCTACCTTGGATCATTATTAAATTCAGATCAATGAAAAGAAAGAAAATTAAAAAAAGGAACTCTTAATTAGAAACATACCAAATATATATACATATTTCTTTTGGTTGGAATTTCAAACTAAAGACATAGAATTTAATTAAGCATATTGAACCTAAGTTTATCCTTGCCATTTTTCAAAATGAATCAGTATCATAAAATTCTAATGTTTTTACAATGTCTCATTAACTTTTATTTCACTAGTATTTTGAAGACTCTATAATTGGATTCTGGTACAATGAGACTTTCCTACTAATTAACTATGTATTCTTCACATCTGCCTAAATAAAAATGAGTTAGGTTTAATCAATCATTCAGTCCTTGAACTAGCATAGAATTTCCTACTCTAAAGAGTTTTCTCAAGTAAAGATAACTTGCTTGAAATGTGGATATTTAGTACACAAATGTATTTACTAAAGTATTCATTTTCCCTATGCATAGGTCCGTACCCTTAGTGGTTTATTTCAGGGAACCATGAAAGCATTTGCCAGTGATTCTAGTTCAAAACTTTTTATGTAAAGTATTTTAATGCTGTTGACTCATTTTGGCTTCTTGTATTGATTTCTGTATTGTAAAAATGCTCCTACAGTGAGGCTACTGTGAATATTGCAAATATTTTTATGAAGGACATAACAAATAAAATATTAAGGATCTGCAAAGTAATATAAATTAATAAACATATTTCTTGCTAAAAAAAAAAGGAGCTCAGTGTATACAGTAGTGAACTCCAGACTTTATTAGTTCTGGTTCTGATTGTGCCATGTTTTAGACAGATGATCTTGGACAAATTCCACAAACTACTTTTGATTCAATATTTTTATTTAATAGCACGTACTCAATACCATTTAGTAGTTCTGACTACTAAATGGGAAAATGCCTGTAGATTGGCTAGTCCAGGCTGTCTCCAAGGTAAGGTGAAAGTTTCTCTCAGAACCACAGAAGTCATCAGTATGTGTGCTATCTTGGATTATTGTCCCATTTAATTTTTTCAGGTTTTTTTCTCTCCTTTGAAAGAGAAAAGGTGTACATTAGGGAGACAAGAGGCATAGGTAGGAGTATTGTTAGGAGTATCATGGTTCACGACCAGCCTCAGCAAAAGTTAGTGAGACCCCATCTCAAAAGCAAGCTGGGTATGGTGGTACACATGTGTATACCCAGCTTTAGGAGGTGGAGGTAGAAGAATCATAGTTTGAGGCTGGCCTGGGCAAAAGTGCAAGATCCTATCTTAAAAACAAAGTGAAAGGCAAAAGGACTAAGAGCATGGCTCAAGTGATAGAGTAATTGCCAAGCAAGTTTCCGGGACCAAATTCAATCTCCAGTACTGGCCCCACTCCCCCTAAAAAAAAGAAACAAGGAGAGCATAAAGAAAAATGAGATTTTCAAAGATTCTCTGAATTTCTTGTAGAAAATATTTTATATCAAGGAAGGAGCCACTGTTTCCACTTACCAAAAATCTATTAGCTCCAAACTAGAATCTATTTTGAATACAGTAGGATAATCTTTCTGATTACTTCAGAAACATATTTGGTACTCTTCATTTGTAATATTTTTATTTAAGTTATCTCTTACTAAATCATAAAATAGTTAATCTATTGATCCTGACACTGTGCTTTGAGTACATTTACTCTCTTCATCATAGCTTAAAGGAGCTGCAAGGTCAGAGGCTGTCCCTAGTCCCAGCCTCTTCTTGTCATTCCAATTTACAGGTCCCATGCTACAACCACCTTCAGTTTGTCGCCTTGCACAGCCTCACCTGCACCTTCTCCTTTGTGCAGTCTGGTTGTTATCAGGAGCACAATTGCCTCTCTCCATGTGCACATCTTCCCTGGGTTCTCCTCCAAGTTGCAGCCTACACTTTGCAGCTAGTGGGACCTGGAATCTGACTGCCCTGTCTCTCAGAGATTCTGTGTCTGACAGCAGTATCCACAGTTGAAATCTGTGATAGTGAGCACATAGACATGGCTTCTGCCATCCTAAGGACACTGTTAATAACCATAAACAACAAACAAGCAATCACAAATCATACCTAAGTATTTAAAATGAACCAACTGTATTTTGGTCCAAAACACTTATATTTCCTTATTGAATTCTAACTCAAGTGACATTTTATTTATATTCTGAAGAACAAGGTGAAATGGAAAGAAAAGCATTTTTGATAAAAGGTACACTATGATGGAAGAATAAAAATAGGGTCCAAAGAGATTTGTTTATTATATGTAGTTATTTCTTTCCATTAACATATAGGAAGCATATTCTATTAAACCTTACTTGGATTTGTTCTTCTTAAGAAGCATAGGACTATAAGTGCATACACAACAATGATTACAAAAGCCATAAACAGTGAGAGAATAGATTAAAATCCAGATTCTAAATATAATGTTAAATTAATAACCGCTATGTAGAAATGAGGTCATATACTCTGATACAAAAAGAAAAGAATTTGTTCTTAAGAAAATGTAATAAAGGGCTAGTGGGGTGGCTTAAGCAGTAAGAAAGCATGCCTAGGAAGTGTGAAGCCCTGAGTTGAAACACCAGAGCCATCAAAAAAAGAGGAAATTTATATATTTATATATTTAGAACATTATATTTATCCAATTATTTATATCACATTGTGTCTATAGATGATAGCTAGCTAGATAGATATGATCGATATGATATATAGAGAGATGATAGATATGATAGATGAATGGCTAGATAGGTGATTAGATAGATAAAGAAAGGAAGGAAGGAAATGGTGGACCTGAAGGACATTGTGCTAAGTGAAACATGCCAGACCCAGGAAGACCACTGCATGATCTCGTTTTCGTGGACAGTGTAAAATTGTGGGGCTCTGAGACTGAGAGTAAAATGGTAGTTAACAAGGTCTGGAGGGAGGGGGACATGTACAAATTTGGTGAAAGGATATAAAGATTTCAGTTATGAAAAGTAAATTCTGAGACCTAATGTAAAACAATGTGACTCTAGATAAAAACACTGTGCACTTGAGCTTAACTAAGCAGGCAAGTCCTAAATAGTTTCATAAGCATGCATGTGAAGAGGCAATGGATGTTAATTATCTAAGTTTGTGAATATTTCACAATGCATTCATATGTCAAATACTCAAGCTGCACAACTTAAACATCTATGATTTTTAATTGTTAATCCATGCCTCTGTAAAGTTACAACAAAATAAACATATTTTGGTTTAAAAAGAATCAGTTTTAATATTCAGAAAAGAAAAACATCATAGTGTATTTTAAAAGGTTCCTTGTGAAATATACACATATATGTT